CTTGCAGTCAAAGATACCTTTTGTTCACACCTATGTCATTAAGTGTATAACAATGTTTATCATTGAGTCATTTAACATGTAGAAGCTTAGAAGCCTCAAATAAAAGAAGGTACATTTCAAATTTTATAAACAATTTTTTTTAATCTATAGAGACCCATTTGACTAACTTATGCTCACATAAATATCACACATAGGAGTATTTGCACAAAACATGCAGCAAAATGTGCAGCCCCAACAAGCAATAGTCAATACTAAGTTATTGTGAGTGTCTGGTGTTTATGCTACAACTAAATATTTCTTTATCTGTGTATTTTTAAAGGAGATGGCTTCTGGAAAAGCACAAACTGTTCTTGGTCTTATCGAGCCTTCCAAGCTTGGACGGACTCTCACTCATGAACACCTTGTCATGGATTACAAGAACTGCTTCTTTAAACCAGTGAGAGAGTCTGACATGGAGACAGTTAATCTCAATGAAATAACTTTACGCAATCTGAACTGGATCTATCAAAAYCCYTACAGCCATAAATACAACCTTTCACTTGGTGATGAGCCACTTGACGAGATTATTAGTGAGGCAGCGGAGTTCAAGAAAGAGGGAGGTTCAACCATTGTGGAGAACACTACTAATGGCATCCAAAGAAATGTGGAACTGCTGAAAAAGATCTCTTTGGCCACTGGACTCAATGTCATATCAGGGACAGGGTTTTACTTGGATCACACAGTAACAGAAGAGATGAAGGCTCTTACTGTAGAGGAAATGTCAAATGTAAGATGAAGGAAGAGTTTCTGTAAATTAGCCCTTGCTGGCAAAATATGAAATGMCCCATCACCYAWCACATCCAACATTTTTCCTTGTTTGATGACAATATGCAAGAATATAGATATATTAGAAACAAAGAGTAAACATATTTACAWAGAAGAGTGGATTTTGATGACACAATATAATGATTTTTGGACATCTTGCTGGGCTACAATCAGTAATAAGCAACAATAATTGAAGTARCTCCCAAAATTTTGTTGATAAAATGGCCTCAAGCTAACTAAGAAAATGCAAAAAATGTTGTCCTATAAAAAAAWTTTTTTTGATTAAGATAATTGCTATATAATGAAATTTGCAGATGATGACTAAAGATTTAACAGTTGGTGTAGACAGCACTGGGATCAAGTGTGGTGTGATTGGTGAGGTAGGTTGTTCATGGCCACTAGCACCATTTGAAAAGAAATCTTTACAAGCTTCAGCTATGGCACAAACAGACACAGGTGCACCTGTCATTATCCATCCAGGACGAAATGATTTCTCTCCCAAAGAATGCCTTAGAGTGTTCCAAGAGGCAGGTGGCGATGTAAAGAAAACTGTGATGTCGCATCTTGACCGTACCATCTTTGACCGTAAAATTCTTGTTGACCTGGCTGAAACTGGTTGCTATCTAGAGTATGACTTGTTTGGTATGGAGATGATACATTACCAGGCAAACCCTGCTGTTGACATGCCAAGTGACTCACAGAGAGTTCAAGAGATCAAGTTTTTGATTGATGAAGGCTATGAAGACCAGATAATGATGGCACATGATGTTCATACACGACACAGGCTTCTCAAGTATGGTGGTCATGGATACTCGCACATTCAAGTGAAYATCATTCCCAAGATGCTTAAAAGAGGAATATCACAAGAGGTTGTTGATAAAATACAAATAGACAATCCAAGAACATGGCTGACATTCAAGTAGGACAAATAGTTGGTAAAGTCAGCTCTTCCTTCCCTGTTCTATTGTCAGGGAAGAATTTGTCTAAAACCACTAGTATAGTATAGGAGTCAAAATAAGATTTTATTGAATTTTCATTCTCATGATTGGAATAGTAGAGCTTACCTTTTCATATTTTCTAAGGAGCATATAAAAATTGAGATATAAAAGCCCCTCCCTCCGAGGGAGGGAATGAATGCTCTGAATGCTATTGCTACTACTAATAGTAACCACAGTACCCACTTATCTCCCAGGTATCTCTGGTCTGGTCTGGTCTTTAGTACAGTACTCAAAGTTAACATTGTAAAGTTTCAATTTGTAGTATATTTGAAATTTTAGGATAAATAGGTTCTTTTGTAAAGGGTGTTATTTGTAGGTTAACAGGTTTTTAAATTTTAGGTTCTTATAAAGAATGTATCGGTCACTACTGCACTTCTATTGCTGCAATTGTTAGTACTATATTTTTGATATCAATCATGTGTGACAAAATCCTTATAATCCTGTATTTTTATAATGATTATACACTACTCGATTAAGTAGACATAAATCGATTAAAATTAATCAATGCTTGCAATAAAATAACTTTTCGTAGTTTTTTCCTGGAGTTTTTTCACAATTTTACGAAACTTTATCCAGTTAAATGTTACAATTTCCCGGTTTAATAAATTCTTTTTCCTGATACTTTCTGAATTATAGTAAAGGATACTTTTAAACTTTTGAAGACATGAACCTGAAACAGCTTCCTCCACATTTATTTTTAAGCGTTTTTGTGTTTGAATTAGTAGATAAATAAGTGTAATTCACGATTTTGTCAATTTGATGTTTTAGTTACAGAGAACTGATCTAACCAATCATTTACCGCCAACTCCAAAAGATTCTTGATTTGTAACTGACTTCAAGTTTTGTTTTTCTTCGCCACCAGAAACTCTTGTAAAAAAAATCAAAACCTAGGTGAAAACTGCTCAATTAACCAGTTATATTTTCGAATTTCAGCCAGTCTCAAATTAGCACGCTATCCTCTAGCCTGGTAGTGCACCTCTTAACCAATTACAAGAAACTCAACCTAAAATTATTTTGATTTTCAGCAAAGAACAAAAGATTTTATGTGACCGAATAAAAGTCCACTGAAACAGTAGCCATTCAACTCCAAACCGTTAACTACACCGGTTGATTTTTTTTAGATTTCTTTTACAATGTTCAAAAATTTATTATTGAAGCTTTTGCTTCTAGGAATAGTTGTGTCGTTAGTTATTGCCGAAGAAAAGGCCGAAGAAAACCACGATAAAAAGGACGATCATCATGAGGACGAACACGATGAAGAACACGAAAAGATAACGCCCAAAGACCACGACGATGAAGATCACGATAAAAAAGATGACGAACATGAAGACGACCACGATGATAAAAAAGATGACGATCATGATGATGATCACGATGATAAGAAAGATGACGATCATGATGATGATCACGAAGACAAAAAAGATGATGACGATGATGAAGGCGATCACGATGACAAGGACGACGCCAAAGACGAAGCTGAAGACGAAGAAGACGGTGATGAAGCCGGCCATCCAGAGCACGATGCTTTCCTTGGTAAGTCTACCCTCGCTATGTAATATCCCTTCTTTGATAAATGACTTTGTCATTGACGAATCGACGTTTAAAACCGAATTTTTGCGCAAACTTAGAGCTACTTTCATCATTGTATTTTCATGGTTTTCATCTCTTCCCAGTTGAGAGAAGTTTGAACTGACTCGTGATGATCCGACGAAAAAAAAATTCATTTGTTTTACTCTTCTCAAAGTTTGAAACAGTTTCGACTTAATCACCAGATTTTTTTATAAGAAATGTTTGACTAGCCTTATTACCTCCTTGCTGAATTTATACCAAAGTTATAGTCGTTTTCAAAAGTCAAAAACATTGTTTTTTAAGAAGCAAGGTCAAAATCCTTGTTGCTCTTTTTGCTATGAATATTTGATACACAGTTTTCTAAAAAAGTTTACTTTTAAAACAAAGAATGTATGTCGGTCACCCGAGACAGTTTTGCAAGTGGCACCATAGTTTCGTAACAAGCATTCATGACGTCATTTTGTAAGACTTGAGGTGTTTCTCTTTTTGTTTACAAATTTACACCCTAAGTTTTGAATTATTTCATGAGATTGTTAAGGGTTGTTTTTTTTATTGTTGATTTAAGAAACGTATTCATATACACAAGAAGAAACACAACCTGTTTATATAATAACTGCGATATTTTATGGCTGTATTACTTTGTGATTAGCTTGCAATAATTTTTTTCGTCTTCGTCAAACTCAAACAACAAACTTTAATAAGTGTGACGTGGGAGAGTTCATTGCACTCGAGTGCGGAACATCGAGTACCGGAACTCCTGCACGAGTGCCACGGAACAGCGAGTGCCTTTGAACGCCAAGTGACGGAACACAAGACTACCTTGGAACGCAAACCTCTACTCTGTATCAAACCTCTACTCTGTATCAAAACCTCTACTCTGTATCAAAACCTCTACTCTGTATCAAAACCTCTACTCTGCGAACAGAGCTACTTTTCTCACCCGATTCTCGGCAGGTGAGAATGGTAGCTCTGTTAGCAGAGTAGCAAACCTCTTTCACAAAACGCATTTTCAGATTCGAGAACAATACAAAACTACCATACTATTCTTTATAAATTATTCAGAAAGCATTCACTAAGTCATTCCTAACACGATGGCATTTTATTTCGCTTTAGGTGATCAACTGACGGCCTTCCAAGACTTACAAGATGAAGACGCCAAGAAGAAAAAGCTGCAAGACCTCGTTGTTAACGAAGTCGACACCAACAAAGACGGTTTTGTCACTGAAGACGAGATCCGCGCCAGACTCATCAAGACAACAAAACAACAAAGAAAAGAAGAGATGAACAACACTATGATTACACATGATGACAGTAAGCGTTGACAAGTAAAATGTTGCTGTGGAGGGTTGGGGTGGACGGCAAATTGCTATGGTGTTATTTTACTCTAGTTTTCTTAAGTGGGAGATTTCTATTCTTTTGGAGAAGATTAAATCAATACTGAAAAAGCAAAGGAAGAGTGCAAAGTTTTCTTAAAATGGAATTGCATGACACCAAGTATCGATGTTTGCTGCTAAGTTTGTGCTGAGTAGATGTTATTTGTYRCTTCAGTTGTTGTTTCGTAGATAACGTTTAGATAGGATATTGTTTAGTGATATTTCAGCGCTTGGTGATGATAACACAAATGTATGACGTTGTCACAATGTCAAGAGTCGTAAGCGCAAACATAATCACGAAACGTAAGCGTATTTAAACGTGAGTAAGGACATATAAGCTCAAGAATACCGAGCATGCTTGTTTATCGTTATGTTTATGCACTCGTGAAAATAGCTTATGGGTTTTTATAACTTTGTTCGGCCCAAATATCGATGCCTATCGTTATAAAAACATAGATTTTACATTCATTTTTTATGTGCTGAACAGACAAAGACGGCAAAGTGTCATGGGAGGAGTTCAAGAAGCATCACTACACTCACGAGAAGGACGACGCACAAGGACAAGCGTCAGACAAGGAACAAATGGAAGAAGACGAGGCTAAATTCAAACATGCTGACGCTGATGGAGATGGCGGTCTTAACCTTGACGAGTACATTTCATTCTATCACCCTGGAGTAAGTAACAACAAGCTACTGTGACGCAGTTATATGAATTTCCGTCAACATGTGGATTCGGGGCCTAAGTCGGTTTCAGACAACAAAGCGATATACCAGTAATTAAGTTAGCAAGCGCGCGACATAAACATAAGCATAAAGCAATAAGTATACTTATGCCATTGTATATTATTAATGATGATATGTTGAGATTTTCTAATCATTGAGTATCGATGATTTCAGGATGATGAGCGCATGTCTGCTTTTGTCATCGGACACACACTCCAAAAGTACGATACTGATAAAGATGGTGCCTTGTCAAAAGAAGAATACCTCAGTAAGTTTCTAGAAAAAGGAATTTCTTGATTAATGCATTGCTCTCGTCCCCTTCACTCCCATTATTCTGCAATGTACTGGATTAAATCAGTTTATATACTGCACTGTGTCACATCGAGAAATCAGACAAAAGCCATACATATACTATAAACTAGCACTTCAGTGTTGAGGTACACACGAAAAGCGGGGAGACATTTTGAGAATACTTTTGAACTGTTAGCTTGAATTTTAAACAGTATACGGATCTCATTTGTATAGGAAATCGCACGAGAGTACAATTTGGAATTAATAGTCACGAGTAATATTTTGAAAGTTCTCGTAATTGCACGAGCCCGATAGGGCGTTTTTTGTTTATAGTACATTCAACTTAATTAAGGAGTACAATTAACGCTGTAATTGTACTTCTCTCGACCAATCAGAATGTATTATTTTGTTGAATGTACTATAAAAAAGGAAATAGCAACCATAAAATCTATACAGAACTCCTATAGATTCAATATCAATTCATATCACAGAAACGTTTCACTAGGTGGTGTCTCGAGCTGTGAGATTCCAAGATCTGGTTTAACTCGCTTTTTACTTCTTTATAATTAGAATCTTACAAAGATCTTAATGACGACGCCAAAGCCGAAATAGAAAAGGACTTCGCCAATTCATACGACACCAACAAGGATGGTAAATTGGAAGCCAACGAGTTATCAAAATGGCTCTTCCCTGATGAGGACATGTCACGTGAAGAACCTCCAGCCATGATGAAAGAAGTTGACGATAACAAAGACGGCAAACTCTCCATGGATGAAATTCTTAAAAACTACAAAGTATTCGTCGAGGATCCACCAATTGGCGGTAGCGACCACGATGAATTATAAGCCATGAACATTATGAAAGAAAATTGACCGAAAGAAAATGGGGAACTGGGACCTTAAGGGACATTTTTGTATTTGAATTCACCCAATTGATAAGAGTTTATATTCCACTAGCACTGACAGCTAGTATAACCATGTTCCATAACTAATATTAATACTTATGAATAATAGCCGCTAATATATTAACGCTTATAAATAAAATATTAATATGAATAATATGTAATGACTAATATATTAATGATTAATAGCTACTAAAATACTAATGAATAATGACTAATAACTATAATATTAATGATTAATGACTAATATATAAATGAATAATAACTAATAGCTAATATATTAATGATAAAATAAATGATTTGATCCTCTTGGACTAAAACACAGGCTATCACGCAAACTTCTTAAACTTCTTCTAATTATCAATTAATAAAAAGCTTGTAATAATCTGGTATAATCAGCAATTAACCCTCTCAATTAATTTTATGAATCTTTTTGTAACATCTTATTTTAGGTATTTCTTAATTTTCCTGCTAACCTGAATTCTAAATGAACCGATTTCCCCGGCGATCAAGTACAGAAATCAAAAACTGTAAAAACTAAATCATCATCAGTAACAGGTTGTCACTCAAAATACTAACAATTTAATATGATTAATATACTAATTGATATTTCGACTTTTAAGAGATTAACTCAAATACTTTGACGACTGTGGTTTAATCCTATATCGCTCGTTAAACGTACTGTTTTTAAAATACTAGTACATTAATCTAAATCACTAATACATCAGAAGTGGAATATTAAACAAATTTACACCAGCTAATTTAGTCTTCATTGATCGAGTCGGAAAAAAAATTCATTCCTCGGGCATAAGTGTGATGGCAGTCAAACGCACATATTTATTAACTTTTCTTTTTTATTAATATTTTTTGTGCATGGAAAAGTAACAATTGATAAATGACGCCCAAATACGCTTCTATTTGATAAGATTTACTCTACGACAGAACATACATCAACAAAGAAGAAAAAAATTACCGCTGTTTGGAAGCCGTGTTTCTTCCTGTGGAAGAAATTTGAAGAAACCAAAAATGTGCAGGGGCGCGTATGCATGGGGTTCCAGAACCGGCCTTGTTAGACGAAGTTTATCGATAGAAAAAAAAATTTTCAGTTAGGTGTGAATCCAAAACAATTCGCGCACGAATTCTTCGAAGTCTTTTGAAGCCGCAAAGAACAAAGCTGGAACCTAGCTTCCCTCATGAAATCCCTGCGCTTGAAAATGTCCAGGTAACGTGGCGAATTGATTTAAACACTCACAGTGATAGTGATACATTCATTTCAGGTATCTAATTTCACATTTTTTTCTTTCTTTTTTCTTTCTTTTCTTTTTCCCGCAACGGTTCAATGCAATGGCGATCAGTTAGGTTTGTTGGTTTGGTTATTTAGTTTTTTGTTTGTTTCTTGTTTTGTTTTAGTTAACAGCAAGCTCCTTAGAGTAATATCCTGATTTAGACATATTGACTCTATCCCATAAGCGGCTCTCAATGATTCGGTCCCGCGCCTCAAAATAGCAAAATGATACTCTTCAGACCAACATGACGCTGATACCTATCCTCTGAGCCGATACGGCAATCTGCTCCTCGGTCTCCTCCGAGGGGGGGGGGGGGGGGGGGGATTCCAGACCCTAAAAGGTACGACCATTTTTGACGTCTTTAACAAGAGAAAAGCTCAAGTTTAACAAACTTTAGAAAATAAATGTCGATGGTTGTTGAGGTTAATAAAGTCTTCTTCTTCTTCTTCATGATGTTCGAAAATTAACCCTAAAAGGCACGGACCCGGCCTGTCGTTTGCTTTTCAATCCTGGAAATATTTCCCAAGGATGCTCGTTATCCTGGTATTATAATTCATGAATACCTGGAAAACGCATTATAGCAGTTCAACTTGAGTCTTATGCAACAAATTTCATCTTGGACGGAATTTCTTACAAAAACCCGATGAATATGAATAATTTAAGCACGGAGTTTCGTCAATCATGTAGACTACTTTTCCTCGCCTCATACAAAGATGGACGGAGACTGAATTGGGACGGAAAATTTCAAAGAGTGTAGTATCCAAACATTGAATTCCGGACATTCCGAGACTCAGTATTCGAAACTGACATTATCAGTTCCGGCCTTGTAAAATATTCAAAATATTCGCATCCCAGTGAAATCTAGTGAAATCTACATAAGTGAACATTGCACGTCAGCACATGACAGAAGAATGTAATATTGTAGATTTCACATTTGTGTCTAAAAACATGTAACAGTCAGGGAAAACCCAATAGATTTCCAACCTCTTACAATAAACAGACACTGGCACGGACGACAATGGCTGACATGTGAAATGAAGAGACACGGAGAAATTTCAGCACTTTGATACAGGTTGACGTTTCTACGCACACGATGGTCCGCGGCCACACGCCGAAGACCTTAAAAACCGACAAATCTGATTGGTTGATTTGAGAGTGGCACCTCCCTTTTTAATCACGTGACACGACGCTCAGTCAATCATTTTGTGGAAAAACTTCGAATAGTAACCGGCATGGCGTACACAAGTGCCGGTGGTAAGAAAAGAGTTTGCTATTATTACGATGGTAAGTCTTTTTAACACGATATAACTTTAGAGAGTTGTGGATATTTTCCTTATGAACAATTATGTGAAGTTTTGCGTGCTGATGTAGTGTAATTACGGAGTTTTTTGAGTAGTTTTGAGGTGTGCTGTTTTCGTGTCTTAACAATAGGTGACATCGGGAACTACTATTATGGACAGGGACATCCTATGAAACCTCACCGTATTCGCATGACCCATAACTTATTACTCAACTATGGTCTTTACAGGAAAATGGAAATTTATGTAAGTGACTTTTGCTGTTCTTTTTGAGTGTTTTACTGAAGCGCGAGACGAATCAACTCGAGCAACAAACTCGCGCTGTCAGTGAAGAGTGAATGACCAGTGCAGTGAATTAATGAGTCAAAAACCGTTCGGATTTTCTTCTTTTTCGTTGATCTAGCGACCTCACAAGGCTGTCCTGGAAGAAATGACCAAATATCATTCTGATGATTATATAAAATTCCTCAAGACGATCAGACCTGACAACATGTCCGAGTACACGAAGCAAATGCAGCGATGTAAGTGGCACGTTTTCAAACCTCATTACTGATACATTTCTCATTTTCCTACCATCTCATTTTATGTCGATACTTTTTCGGGTCGCAAATCCTACCTCTTAATGCATACTTAGACCATTTTTAGCATAGCATTTATGTTAGTTCTCAATAGGTCAAGTTTAAAGTTTTTGATAAAACTCGATAAAATTTTAAGAAAATATAATAGTGCAAATGTTGGATGTTGCGTTATAAACTTCACTTCACACCGACCGGAAACCAAGCAAATCTTGAAAAAAGATAGTCCATTTCTACCTTATTTTCTCATAAATATGCAGCATAATATTTATTATTCGGTTATTGACTCGTGTATTTTGTTCAAAGATTAAATAAATACACTAGTTAGCTTACTTGGACAGCAAATATTAATAAAAATTGTGTTTAAATAACTCTTACTATAAGGGAACATTTATAATGAATCTACAATGATTTTGATATCAGGATGATTGTAGTATGTAACTTATCATTATCACAACTCAAATGTTATTTAAAGATAACATTACCATGACAAACATACAATGTAGAATAAGGAATCTTTTGCTTTACAAGCAGGCTTTTGATACATTCCATAGAATTGTTGAATTATTGTATGAATTTGCTGTGGATAATCTTTTTTTATCAGGCCCAAGGTAGGATTGATTTTAATCAAAATATTATCATACGCCAACACAGCTAGTATAATTCTCATTTTTACCATGGAATTTCTATTCCAAATTGGCCACCAGTGATTGCTTCAGAGGGTGGTAGGAAAAAGCTTTTTTTGGTAGTCAATAACTACAATTTCCTAATTCAGGTGATGAAATGTAGCAAATTAGAAAAATGTTGTCAGGTTTCTAAAAGGCAATACCATCGAAGCTAACACTGAAGGGGATTTTTGTGAGTTCAGGAATTTCAATCATATTTGCCTCAACTTGCTAGATTATATCATTATTATTGTCTAATTTGCTTGTAAAGGTTTTGTACAAATACAAATATTTATTATAATAGGATAATCTTGTATTGATTTTCCTTTGATCAAAACTATAATATGGGAAAGTTTTGTCTATTTGATGCTAAATATCAAAGGAAAACAAAGTATACACGTATCAGTAACTATTTGTATTTGATATGCTACTGTTTTTCTCACATAATTTAAATAGAATTTTTCTTCCTGATAAGTTTAAAGCACAACCCATATTTCCAAACTGATTAATAAAAAAATAATGTTCATATATCACATCGTAAATGTCAATGCAACTTAGAATAGCTACCCCATTAAAAGCCCTCCATGTGATTTTGACATGATCAATATCCATCTCAAAGCAACAATTTAAAAAATAGCAACATCAGACAAACAAACAAAAATGAAAATTTGCCATAAAAGCTCATATTCAAATATAATTTTATGGCATTTTCTAACATGATTTTGTTAATATTTCAGTTAATGTTGGTGAAGATTGCCCAGTGTTTGATGGGTTGTATGAATTCTGTCAGCTTTCTACAGGTGGATCTTTAGGTAAGAACAGTAATGCTTATCAAATGACTGCACAAACTGATAGAATTTAAGAAATGTTATTCCTTGTTGTATTTTTATCATTTACACATAGCGAATCTTTGATTTGGTTAGCTATCCCACATTGACCGTAGATCAAAGTCTAAGTGTACATGTTCATACATGTATGTATAACGTGATCTGTGATTGGCTAACTTTTACTCCATTTTATTATTACCAATTATTTCTTTATAACTTGCTCTGTGATTGGTTAACAGTTGATTTTCTCAATATTTGTTATGTATTTCTTTATAACCTGTTCTGTGAATAGCTGATTTACAAAGCATTTTTTGTATATGTTTTATCAGCTGGTGCTGTCAAGTTAAACAAGACACAAACGGACATAGCAGTCAACTGGGCTGGTGGATTGCATCATGCTAAAAAATCAGAAGCATCAGGGTTCTGCTATGTGAATGATATTGTGTTAGCTATTTTGGAACTGCTTAAGTAAGTACATTATAGTAAAAACAATATATTTGTACAATCATTAATGTAATTTATCTTGAGAGATGCATTCTTGCATAGCAAAAACTAAGAAGGCAACATAGTTATTTGGTTTGAAKGRTTTATCAAACATTCCTTGCCAAWGTAGTGYAGGCATCTGRATGTTTTGCTCTTTCTGMCATATATGACATACAATCCAAGAACATGACCTCATTGACCTCAAAGTTATTTAGAAGGAATGAATCACTAAAAATCCATTCACACATGGTAATATGGAACAAAAGAATTGTAGATATTGCATACTGTAAAATTATCCAAAAAAGTTCTTGAATTATTAGTTTACAGTAGTTTGATTAATTATAGGCGTTAAAATATTGTTTTCACTCTACGAAAGCTGCTTCTGACAAAAAATATTGTATAGGTATAACCAGCGTGTTTTATACATCGACATTGATATTCACCATGGCGATGGCGTGGAGGAAGCATTCTACACTACTGACAGAGTCATGACAGTTTCATTTCACAAATATGGTGAATATTTCCCAGGGACAGGAGATTTAAGGGTAAGGATTACTACAACTTAGATCTTTCCATTACTAGATTCCAGCTTTAATATCTGGTTGGTGTTCTTTAGGATATAGGTGCTGGGAGAGGAAAGTACTATGCAGTTAATTTCCCACTAAGGGATGGTATTGAGGATGACTCCTATCAACAGATTTTCCAACCAGTAAGTTTTATCATCCACATTTTAAACATTGCAGTTACAGCTTCTGTCATTTGATTCATTGCTGTTGTTTACCTTTGAAATCCATTGTTGTGAACTATAGTTTTCATCTTATTCTGTATTTTTAGATCATCTCTAAGGTAATGGAAATCTACCAGCCCAATGCAGTGGTCTTGCAGTGCGGAGCTGATTCATTGGCTGGTGACAGACTCGGCTGTTTTAACTTGTCCCTCAAGGGTCATGCACAGTGTGTGGAGTTTGTCAAGAAGTTTGGTCTGCCATTGTTAGTGCTTGGAGGTGGTGGCTATACAATCAGGAATGTAGCAAGGTGCTGGACCTACGAGACATCTGTTGCCCTTGATGCTGATATTGCCAATGAGCTACCCTATAATGATTACTTTGAGTATTTTGGACCTGATTTCAAGCTGCACATCAGTCCATCCAACATGACTAACCAGAACACCCCTGACTACTTGGATAAGATCAAGTGAGTAGCATTATTCTAACATATTCTACTTTCTTCCTTTTGTTATAAAAGTAACAATTATATCTTAACAGCATGAAACGTTTATTCTTAATGCATTAAAAGAATTGGTTCACTTTTTTGTTCATGAAGAGTAAAAGAAGTGTTGTATATAGCTAACATGTCTGTTTTTGTTAGGCAACGACTGTTTGAAAATCTGCGAATGTTGCCACATGCGCCTGGAGTGCAAATGCAACGTAAGTTTGCAATACAATTTTTATTGCTACCTTTTGTTCCTTTATGTTTGTATTCCCTTGGCCTTGCTTTCTTGTGTTGTATGATTTGTTTTTTGCTTGTTTTTGATGTCCATTGATATTTTTTTATGTGTGTGACATAAATTTTTTATTAGCTCAATTCAATATATTTGCTTGATGCTGTGGTTTCAAAGATACACTAAACCTATGGTGTTGTTGTTTGTTTAGCTATCCCAGAAGATGCATTACCAGATGAAAGTGACAATGAAGATGAAGATGATCCTGAACAAAGAATAAGTAGTATGTATTAACATTTATTCAATGATAACAAATATCATTTATACTTTTAAAAAGTTGTGACCTTATAACAGGCAGCATTCATGTGATTTTGGATAATTACATTTTGAGATATATGGAATCAATTTGATAGTCTTCTTCCTATGCAAATTCTATACACAAACTATAGAAATCTAGAGCTCTATCATTAATGCAAGACATGCTTGTTTGTTTAGTACGTGCATCTGACAAACGAATTGCTTGCGAGGAAGAATTTTCTGATTCTGAAGACGAAGGTGATGGACGACGAGACAACCAGTCAGCGCGTGAAGGTAGATCACGGAAACGAAATCGTGCACACCCAGTAGAGAACATGGTTACTAATGGAAGTGCAGAGAATGCCAATGGAAGTGATGATGTCAGATCTAATAATAGCACATCTAATAACCAAGCAGCTGAGTTAAAACCTGACTCTAAACCCAAACCATCTAGTGGATCTAATACACCTAAGGAAGGATCACCCAAGACAGTAGGAAGTACTACTGCTGCTGAGAGTACTGCTGATAACTCTACTGTACCTCAAGATGCAAACCGCAAAAGGTACACATGACATAGCTAA